ATCCTGTGGGTTTGGTCCAAGTGCTTGACAGATTTGTTGTTCGGATATGTGAAATTAATTTTGATACTGGTTGTATTTTTAACATTCAGTGATGATGTGGTTGACGGTTAAAAGTACGCTGCATGACTCACATAGTGGAGGATCGTCTTTATTCATCAAGTAGCTGTGTGTTAAGTGTGTGTGACCAATTCGAAGGCGGTTTATTATGGTTTCATGGCTTAAGTATTATTGAGTATTAAAAACAAAAATAAATACTATTAGACCTAAACATTTTTATAATACTGACTTTGTACAACAATAAAATATACTATCACCCAATGACCAATGTTGACACTGGTCCCCCCCCCCCAAAAAAAAATACATCAAACTATCTATATGTATCATTGTATCATAATTATATTATTCCTCTGGATATTTTGTGATCTACATCTAAAATTTGTATTGACTATTCATTTAGAAAAAACACTAGCCCCGTCCCCCTTCCCTAAAGATACTATTTCAAACATTCTTTCTCATTTATATTAGTAAATTAAATTCATAATTTACATACAAATTTTATACTTTGTGATTTTTATWGTACCAACAATACTTCATATAATTTTTCACTTATACTTTTAAACATGTACAAGTGTTTAATTTATATTTATTTACAGCTTTAGGACCTGGACTCATTTTCTATTACCTATATTAGGTATATCTTATATAAATGCTGTGATTTTTGTTTATTGTCATTATTTTTAGAGTCAGTATAAGTATATATTATTAAGCTTTTACTATTATAAAAGGTAAAATAATTTTGTAAAATAATCAGTGAGTAACTACTGTTTTACTACTAATTGATTTGTATTACAAAACAACATAAATTATTTTGAAGAGGCTCTGGATATTTTTCTGATTCACTATTTCTAAAACTTATTAGATTAATCAAATCTTGTCTCACTATCTTTTTTTTCATTTCTTGAGCAACCTGTGAAAACTGCACATATTTTTCAAACAATAAATATCCTGTGTGTAATATAGTGTTAATTTCAAATGCATGGTTAAATTGGGATTTTGCCATTGTTGATTATTTATCATTAAATAATTCATGTTACAGAATACTAAGACTGTCAACGGAAAAAAAAAATTGTGGCGTTCATTAAAGCAAATAATAGCTCAAGAGAGAAACTTACCCTGGCCCGATAACTCAATTAATTGTAAATAAATCTTATTAGGTACTAATTTAAAGATAATTCATATTTTATTTCTATAATATATGTTTGCAGATAGCTGTATTTCTGCTCMTCCATCATTCAAACCAGCCAAAAAATATTCAGATATTAGTGGATTAATTGTAATAATATTAAAATGTTTATGTATTAATAATCTTGTTATTTATTTATTTATTTTTTAAGGCTAAATATAAAGATCCCCAAACATCTTTATACTATGCTGGATATGAAGAATTCAGTACTGTAAGAAATCTGCCTAGTGATATCATTACCGGATATCTGACTTTACGAGGATCATACAATCCTATTGGATAATATTATCATAGTTAATATGATACATTAACTTAAAATAAGATTTATAAATAAATGAATGAATGTATTAGTAACTGTAAAATGTGTRTTACTATATTGAATTATTAAACAGTAATGAACTTTATAAATCAATGTTTATTAATGACTTTATCATCTCTTAATCCTATTCTTGCATAATTACATCACTACTTATATAATTAATATAAAAACACAAAATATGTTATCTTTAAACTTGTGGATCGACTTTAGGTTCATCAAATTTAATTGTTGGGAATTTGGTTGGATCTTCATTTGGAGCAATGTTGTATTGSCGGCCGATCTTTTCCAAATCATTCTTGTAACCTTTATCAATTGAAGGGTCAAATGTCTTGGTATCAAACTTTCCTTTGTACTCGCGGATTTTATCCAAGAATAATTTTTGGATTGGATCTGAAACTTTTTCATTCATCAATACCGATGTAGCYGATATATTACGACGAACGAATCTGGCAGATCCAGCGACATTGAATTTTTGTAATAAATTAAATGACAACATTTTTAATCTGAAATATTAGTTATACTTTTAAACACGTATATCAAATTATACACGAAGAAATAAATTATAAAATACTTACTCTATTAGACTATAACTCGTGGAACAAGTATAGAAATTGTGCAACAAATTTTCTAACTCAAAATTGATGAAAATTAAAATTAATCCTATAATCATATGTCCTAGTGTCCTATCTCTAAGACGAATGTCATTTTTTTTTTATGATAAAATACAGTGTATCCAAAATAAAATTCTTCAAAATAATTATTTGTATTTATATACACTTTATTCAGCCACGGATTAAAATTTGAAACATGTGCKAGATTTTTTCAATATTATTTATATTTTATTTTAAGCAAGGTTGTAAATACCTACTAAATTCTAAAAAAATATTTTACACTTTTCTAATTGTGAACAAATGTTATTTTAATATCTTACAACTACGTTGCAGTAAATTCATGTTTTCTGATAAGGTTGTGGCCATGACAACAATAACAAAGAATGACTGGGTGATTTTCTTTATTTAAATAGTCAGAACTACAAATATAAATATTAGATAATAGTAAACACCAAACATTCAACGATTTTAAGTTAGGAAATTTACGTATTTATAGAGAAACATAATAGAAATTTAAATTTGACATAATGAAGATTACTGTCACAACACACGACGACCAGTTGATTGTACTTGACGTAAGTGAGGATTTAGAACTAATCAATTTCAAGGCACTATGTGAAGTAGAAACTGGAATTCCATCACAGGAGACTGGGCTAACACACAATGGTCAGCTTTTGGTTGACGATTTTAGTACAATGAAAAACTTAGGTGTTCGCGATGGAGATGTTATTATAATTCAAAGAGTTGCAAGTAGCGTTACTGCAATGGATCACTCATTTAGTAGTCCAAGCAATAGTATGCATGTACAAAAAAAAATAATATCAGTCTTTGTATCTGTAATTATTTTTGCTTTTTAGATATGTTACCACAATTTGACTTTAGCCGTATTCAAGTGCCTGGTTCATCTAATAGCCACCCAAGCAGTAACAGACAACATCAAATGCAGGATGCAGAATATGTTAGGAACTTATTTCTCTCCAGTCCAGAACAATTAGCTCTTCTTAAGCAAAATAATCCTAGACTTGCAGATACCTTGTCTTCAAACAAAATTGGTCAGTAGTTAGTCATGCTTTATTTTGTAATAAATATTAGGTCTTAATAATTCATTACTAAAACAGATTGGTACCATAATAGATTATGAGATTTAGTGATAATAACTCAACAATATATAGGGATTAATTGAATTAATATTTCAATACAAATCTTAATATAACTTCCAGTACACTGTATGTTGTAAGAATTAAATCAACATAATCAACCCTAGGGGCTCTAGAATACGGGTTAGAATAAATATGATATTATTACATTATGTTATATATATTATATATATATATATATATATATATAATTTATGGATTTCCTAGGTTAAGTAAGAACTATTAAGTTATGATGATTTTATTTTAAAGGAGATATTATTAAAAATTATAAGTCTAGATTAGTCCTTATCTTTAAACAAATAACATTTCACGATGTCTTATAGGATTTAACTACTAGCTATTTTTTAAATTCTTATAACTTTTCAAAAATAAAATAGATGATTTTTTAATTTGCATTGCAGAAGATTTTGCAAATGTCATGGCTGAGCAAATGGAAGAAAGAAAAAAGCGTGAGGACCAAAGAATCAGAATGATGAAAGCTCATCCATTTGACTCTGAAGCACAAAAATTAATAGCAGAAGAAATACGTCAAAAAAACATTGAAGCTAACATGGAAGCCGCTATGGAATATAATCCAGAAATGTTTGGAACAGTTGTCATGCTTTATATCAATTGTAAAGTAGATGGATATCCTGTAAAAGCTTTTATTGATTCTGGAGCTCAAACTACAATAATGTCATCTGCTTGTGCTGAACGATGCAACATCATGCGCTTAGTTGATAGCAGATGGGCTGGGTTAGCTAAAGGTGTAGGTGTACAAAAAATTATTGGCAGGATACACATGGTTCAAGTTGCAATTGAAAATGATTTTTTAACAACCAGTTTTTCTGTTCTTGAGGATCAACCAATGGATATGCTTCTTGGATTAGACATGTTAAAAAGACATCAAGTAATTATTTTTTTATTTATTGAAAATTTTCTCTTATGGATATTTTTTCTACCACCTATTTTTCTTTTAATATCCAA